TATGTCACAAGATCATTTTAATGTATAAAGATTGAATGTTTGAAAAGAAATGAGAGTTTTGAGTTAAAGTTATTCAAGTTCCCTTTGACGTCACGCAGAGTGTTTTACTGAGTGAAGATTGAATCTTTGAATGAAATTATCTCAATCAATGAACCTATTATGTAATTAGAACTTTTCAATGTATAAAAATTGAATCTTTGGAAGAAAATGAGTGTTTTGAGTTCAACTTATTCGAGTTACCTAAGAAGTCACGAATACTGTTTTAATCACTGAAGATTGAATCTTTAAATGAAAATGAGAGTTTTGAGTTATGTTACTAGACGTTTTTAATGTATAAAGATTGAATCTTGGAAAGAAAATGAGAGTTTTGAGTAACAATTATTCAAGTTCCGTGTGACGTCCGGAAAAGTGTTTTAATGGCTGAAGATTGAATCTTTGAATGAAAATACCTCAATAAAGGTACCTATTTTGTTACTAGACCTTTTTAATGTATAAAGATTGAATCTTTGAAAAAAGTGAGAGTTTTGAGTTCAACTTGATCGAGTTCCCTGTGACGTATTGAAGAGTGTTTTATTGAGTAAAGATTGAATCATTGTATGAAATTACCTCAATCAAGGTACCTATTACGCCACTAGACCTCTTGATTGTATAAAGATTGAATCTTTGGAAAGAAACGAGTGTTTTAAGTTAAAGTTATTCGAGTTCCCTTTGACGTCACGAGGAGTGTTTTAATGACTAAAGATTGAATCTTTGAATGAAAATACCTCAGTCAAGGTACCTATTCTACCACTAGGCCGTTGTAATGTATAAAGATTGAATCTCTGAAAGGAAATGAGTGTTTTGAGTGTAACTTATTCGAGTTACCTATGAAGTCGCGAAGAGTGTTTTAATGACTGAAGATAGAATCTTTGAATGAAAATACCACAATAAAGGTACCTAATTAATTAGTAGACCTTTTTCATGTATAAAGATTGAATCTTTGAAAGAAAATGAGAGTTTTCAGTTTAACTTATTCGATTTACCTATGAAGTGGCGAAGAGTGTTTTAAAGACTAAAGATTGAATCTTTGAATGAAAATACCTCAATAAAGATACCTATTATGTTACTAGACCTTTTTAATGTCTAAAGATTGAATATTTGGAATAAAATGATTGTTTTGAGTTTGACTTATTCGATTTACCTATGAAGTCGTGAACCGTGTTTTAATGACTAAATATTGAATCTTAGAATGAAAATACCTTAATAAAGGTACCTATTATGTTACTAGACCTTTTTACTGTATAAAGATTGAATCTTGGAAAGAAAATAACTGTTTAGAGTTAAACTTATTCGTGTTCCCTATGACATCCCGAAGAGTATTTCAATGAGTAAAGATTGAATCTTTGAATGAAATTACCTGAATCAAGGGAATTATTTTGTCCCAGGACCTTTTATATATAAAGATTGAATCTTTAAAAAGAAATAAGCGTTATGAGTTAAACCTATCCGAGTTCCCTATGACGTCCCAAATAGTGTTTTAATGCGTAAAGATTGAATCTTTGTATGAAATTACCTCAATAGAGGTACTTATTATGTCACTAGACCTTTTTAATGTATAAAGATTTAATCTTTGAAAGAAAATGAGAGTTTTGAGTTAAACATATTCGAGTTCCCTGTAACGTCCCGAAGAGTGTTTTAAAGAGTAAATATTGAATCTTTGAATGAAATTACCTCAATCAAGGTACCTATTATGTCACTCGACCTTTTTAATGTATAAAGATTGAATATTTGTAAAGAAATACGAGTTTTGAGTTAAAGTTATTTGAGTTCCGCTTGATATAACGAAGCGTGTTTTAAAAAGTAAAGATTGAATCTTTGAACGAAATTATCTCAATCAATGTACCTATTGTGTCAGTAGACCTTTTTAATGTATAAAGATGGAATCTTTGACAAAAAATGAGAGTATTGAGTTTAACTATTCGAGTTACTTATGAAGTTGCGAAGAGTATTTTAATGACTAAAGATTAAATCTTCAAATGAAAATTCCTCAAACAAGGAACGTATTATGCTACTAGATCTTTTTGATGTATAAATATTGAATCTTTGAAAGAAATAAGAGTTTTGAGTCAAACTTATTCGAGTTCTTTTTGGCATCTCGAAGAGTGATTTAATGAATAAAGATTGAGTTCCCTGAGACGTTCCGAAGACTGTTTTAATGATGAAGGATAAAATCTTTGAATGAAATTACCTCAACCAGGAGACCTATTATGTCACCAAATCATTTTAATGTATAAAGATTGAATGTTTAAAAAGAAATGAGAGTTTTGAGTTAAAGTTATTCGAGCTCCCATTGACGTCACGAAGAGTGTTTTACTGAGTGAAGATTGAATCTTTGAATGAAATTATCTCAACCAAGGAACCTATTTTGTCATTAGACATTTTTAATATATAAAAATTGAATCTTTAGAAGAAAATGATTGTTTTGAGTTCAACTTATTCGAGTTACCTAAGAAGCCGCGAATACTAATTTAATGACTGTAGATTGAATCTTTAAATGAAAATGAAAGTTTTGAGTTATGTTACTAGACACTTTTAATGTATAAAGATTGAATCTTGGAAAGAAAATGAGAGTTTTGAGTTAAACTTATTCGAGTTTCGTGTGACGTCCGGAAAAGTGTTTTAATGAGTAAAGATTGAATCTTTGAATGAAATTACCTTAATAGAGGACTGATTATGTCACTAGACCTTTTTAATGTATAAAGATTGAATCTTTGAAAAGAAATGGGAGTTTGGAGTTAAAGTTATTCGAGTTCCCTTTGACGTCACGAAGAGTGTTTTATTGAGTAAAGATTGAATTTTGGAATGAAATTACCTCAATCAAGGTACCTATTATGTTAGTAGACCTTTTTAATGTATTAAGATTGAATCTTAGAAAAGAAATGAGAGTTTGGAGTTAAAGTTATTCGAGTTCCCTTTGAAGTCACGAAGAGGGTTTTAATGAGAAAAGATGGAATTTTTGAGTGAAATTATCTTAATCAAGGTAGTTATTATGTTACTAGACCTTTCTAATGTATAAAGATTGAATCTTTAAAAGAAATGAGAGTTTTGAATTTAACTTATTCGAGTTACCTATGAAGTCGCGAAGAGTGTTTTAATGACAGAAGATTGAATCTTTGAATAAAAATACCTCAATAAAGGTACCTATTTTGTTATTAGACCTTTTTAATGTATAAAGATTGAATCTTTGACAAAAATGAGAGTTTTGAGTTAAACTTGATCGAGTTCCCTATGACGTACTGAAGAATGTTTTAATGAGTAAAGATTGAATCATTGTATGAAATTACCTCAATAAAAGTTCCTATTATGTCACTAGACCTCTTTAATGTATAAAGATTGAATGTTTGAAAAGAAATGAGAGTTTTGAGTTAAAGTTATTCGAGTTCCCTTTGACGTCACGAAGAGTGTTTTAATGAGTAAAGATAAAATCTTTGAATGAAATTACCTCAATTAAGGAACCTATTCTACCACTAGACCTTTGTAATGTATAAAGATTGAATCTTTGAAAGAAAATGAGTGTTTTGAGTTTAACTTATTCGAGTTACCTATGAAGTCGCGACGAGTGTTTTAATGACTAAAGATTGAATCTTTGAATGAAAATACCACAATAGAGGACCTATTTTGTTACTAGACCTTTTTAATGTATAAAGACTGAATCTTTGAAAGAAAATGATATTTTTGAGTTAAACTTATTCGAGTTCCCTGTAACGTCCCGAAGAGTGTTTTAATGAGTAAAGATTGAATCTTTGAATGAAATTACCTCAATCAAGGTAGCTATTACATCACTAGACCTTTTAAATTTATAACGATTGAGGTTTTGAAAGGAAATTAGTGTGTCAAGTTAAAGTTATTCAAGTTCCCTTTGACGTCACGAAGAGTGTTTTAATGAGTAAAGATTGAATCTTTGAATGAAATTAGCTCAATCAAGGTACCTATTCTGTCACTAAACCTTTTTAATGTATAAAGATTGAATCTTTGAAAGAACATGAGAGTTTTGAGTTCAACTTATTCGAGTTACATATGTAGTTGCGAAGAGTGTTTTAATGACTAAAGAATGAATCTTTGAATGAAATTATCTCAATAAAGGTACTTATTTTGTTAGTAGACATTTTTAATGTATAAAGATTGTATCTTTGAAAGAAAATGAAAGTTTTGAGTTAAACTTATTCATGTTACCTGTAACGTCCCAAAGAGTGTTTTAATGAGTAAATATTGAATCTTTGAATGTAATTACCTCAATCAAGGTACCTATTCTATCACTAAGCCATTTTAATGTATAAAGATTGAATCTTTGAAAGAACATGAGAGTTTTGAGTTCAACTTATTCGAGTTACCTATGAAGTTGCGAAGAGTGTTTTAAAGACTAAAGATTGAATCTTTGAATGAAAACACCTCAATAAAGGTACCAATTATGTTACTAGACCTTTTTAATGTCTAAAGATTGAATCTTTGGAATAAAGTGATTGTTCTGAGTTTAACTTATTCGATTTACGCATGAAGTCATGAACAGTGTTTTAATGACTAAATATTGAATCTTTGAATGAAAATACCTTAATAAAGGTACCTATTATGTTACTAGACCTTTTTACTGTATAAAGATTGAATCTTGGAAAGAAAATGACTCTTTTGAGTTAAACTTATTCGAGTTCCCTTTTACATCCCGACGAGTATTTCAATGAGTAAAGATTGAATCTTTGAATGAAATTACCTGAATTAAGGGACTTATTTTGTTCCAGGACCTTTTATATATAAAGATTGAATCTTTAAAAAGAAATGAGCGTTATGAGTTAAACCTATCCGAGTTCCCTATGACGTCCCGAATAGTGTTTTAATGCATAAAGATTGAATCTTTGTGTGAAATTACCTTAATAGAGGTACTTATTATGTCACACCCCAACGCCAATTTACACTATTTAATAAATTGAACAATTTGAAATGCATCTAACCATCTGCATTAACCTCATTCAACATGACATCATCATACATCAAAGTACATGCTTAACAATTTACAATTTAAAACAAAATATAGGCCTATTATGCAAGTTTAAAACAAACTAAATCGTTAACGACAAGTTACACCATTAAATTCTACTACAATATTTACATCTTAAACAAAAGACGGTCCATTGTTCCTTTCCCCATTCCCACTCAAGATTCTAGACCTGGCAGTAGCAACTCAACCAGATACCTGAAAAATATAAATGTAGACGGAATGAGCTTAAAGCCCAGTGAATGCAACACTACTACATCAGAGTAATATAAATAAATATTATCTGATGACTTCAATTAAACCTCATTAATATCTTACAGGCATTTAAATATAGTACTCTCCTTCTAGGCCAGAGTATGGACCTTATTTAAATATAGTACTCTCTTTCTTGGCCAGAGTATGGACCTTATTTAATGTAGTACTCTCTTTCCAGGCCAGAGTATGGACCTTATATAAGATATTACTCTCCTGCCAGGCCAGAGTATGGACCTTATATAATATAATCAAATTATATATATTCATCTTCAATTCACATAAACAGCTTCAATACTTCAATTTAATACATTCAAGTATAAATTTCCAATGAGTACACTCACCTTGTTTACTTCCCGAATTATTTACTTATCCCTTGGAAATGTCGAAGCTTCCGTCTCCTTATCTTCACCTGAATAAAATTGTAATTACATTATACCCATTTCTAAATGAAATTTAATCACAATTATTACTTCAATTATAAATCTCAAACTGAATATACAATCTACAATTCTAGTCACAAATCCTTTATATCAATTTTCAGCCTGACAATTCCCTTTACCACATCCACGATATTAATTCAAATAAAGCAGTCCTTGACTCAAGTATAAACACAAACTACCTTTAAATCAATTATATGGTATATAACTGAAAGAATTAATTGAATCACTTATTACTAATAAAATAATAACTTCCAACATAAAATTACTAATTCAAAATCCTTCTCCCATGATTGAATCCAGCAAGATTTATATCACTTTATAGAGATTAATACTCAATTAAAAGAGAAACAAACAAAAATAAATAAAATGTATCCAAACATCCCAATTCAAGTCTTAAGGAATTTAATTGAAAAACCTTCCAATATAAAATATCAACTCTCTACCTGTACCCAAAAATTTTCTTGTCTGAAACTTGCTTCCCTTTTCTTTATGGCCGTCCCCAAGCTGCTGATTGTTTCTTTTTCTTTCTTTCTTCTCTTTTCTTCTTCTTTGGGCGAAACCCCTTTTGTTCCTATCTCCTTTCTTTTTCTTTTCTTTTTTTTCTTTAAACACTCCCTTCCCACTTCGGTTCAACAGACTCCTTAAAGGCACTTTGTGACGTGTTGAGTGTATGGGCACTAATAGTTTGTGCTGGCAACACCCAAAAAAAAAATAAACTAATGGCTTCCTTTTCTTTTATTTTAATCAACCCACATAGATAAGTAGGTTGATTTCAACAGTCCAGCAGCAAACCTCCACGTGAAAATATATCAATACATGAATATTGACCATGTGCATGTGTGATTGAGTGAATAGTCTTGGATGTAGATGTAAACTTAGCAGCTAGAACACTTTTCTACTTAAGCTTTTACCCACGAAATACTTAAAGATATAAATAAATAGGCATGGTTCTCAATTAGCCCACCAATTAACCTTACTAACTTTAAAGCTTGTAAAGTAAGCTTTGAACTAATATAATTTTATCTATAAGAATGGGCTACCAGCATATATATATTCAGCACAAACATACCCATGACATCACACATGTACTTCAATATATACACCCTCTTTATTTATTATATATACATATATATATATATTTCTTTTCTTCCCATTAGCTGCGACCACTTCAAAAATTTGTATTTAATACCATACCCATGAATATATAAGAAATATGTGCAAACACTTCTAGATACTCCGTACCATGCATTTGTGAACAATTCTCATACTTGAAATGAATTGTTTATAAACATGAAATTTTTTATTTTGTTTTCCAACGCAATTAAATAAACGTATTTAAGCTTAAACACATATTAACAAGCTCATACTGATAATTAAAGAGTTAATAAACTTCTGGATATGACAATCTACCCCTCTTAAAATAAATTTCGTCCTCGAAATTAAAATGCATGAAATATACCGAACAAGTGAGGATATTGCATTCGCATAACTTCTTCACTTTCCTAAGTCGCTTCTTCAATTGTATGACCCCTCCACAATACCTTTACCAATGATATAGTTTTATTCCGTAGCACTTGCTCCCAGCGATTCAAAATCTGTACTGGTTCCTTTACATAAGTCAAATCTTTCTTCAACTTTATCGGTTCTGCAACTAAAACATGAGATGGATCCGATATATACTTTCGAAGCATAGACACATGGAAAATGTCATGCAATCTTGATAATTCTTTTGGTAATTGCAACCTATACGCCACTGCTCCTATTCGTTCCAGAATCTTGTAAGGTCCAATGTATCTGGGACTTAACTTACCTTTCTTTCCAAACCTCATAATACCTTTCCAAGGAGAAATACGAAGAAAAACAAAATCACCAACTTCAAATTCCAAATATCTTCTTTTTCGCACATCTACATAACTTTTCTGTCTATCCTGTGCCACTTTCATACGCTGCTGAATTATCTTCACTTTTTCTGTTGTAAGTTTAATCAATTCTGGACCCAATAACTTTCTTTCCCCCACTTCATCCCAACACAATGGAGTTTTACATTTTCTCCCATATAAAGCTTCATATAGTGCCATTCCAATAGTAGACTGATAACTATTATTATAGGCAAATTCATTCAACGGTAAATAATCATCCTAAATACCTTTGAAATCCAACACACAAGCTCTCAACATATCTTCCAAAATCTGAATAGTTCATTCTGACTGCCCATCTGTCTGCGGGTGAAAAGCTGTACTGAACTTCAAAGAAGTTTTCATGGCTTCATACAAACTATACCAAAATCTCGAAGTGAACTTCGGATCCCTGTCACAAACAATAGAAACTGGAGCCCCATGCAAACATATGATCACATTAACATACAAATGAGCATATTCCTTTATAGAATAAGTAATTTTCACCGCCAGAAAGTGAGCTGATTTCATCAATCTATCAACTATCACCCAAATAGAGTCATATCCCCGTTTTGATCTTGGAAGTGCCGTCACAAAATCCATGGTTACATGCTCCCATTTCCATTGTGGAAGTGGGAACGGCTGCAACAACCCCGCTGGTTTCTGATGCTCAGCTTTCACTCGTTGACATATCAAACAATTTGCTACATATTCTGTAATTTCACATTTCATATTGTTCCACCAATAGTATTCTTTCAAATCCCTGTACATTTTAGTTCTCCCCGGATGCATGGCATATATAGAACTGTGGGCTTCATCTAAAATATATTTCTTCAAGGAAACATCATTTGGAACACAAATTCGACTTTTAAAATACAAAATCCCATCATCCCTAACTGTAAATTCAGTTTGCATACCCTTTTGAGCTTCTTTTCTTTTCTTATCCAAGAATACATTATGAATTTGCAGCTCTTTAAGTCTATCGAGCAACAAAGGTCTTACCGTAACAAGTGCAAACAATGCTCCTTTGTTAGTAACTGTCAATTCAACTCCCATCAGTCTCAATTCCATAATATTTGCCACCCGTGCACACTGTACACAAGATAGTCTCCCTGAAGACTTCCTACTCAAGGCATCTACTACTACATTGGCTTTTCCAAGATGATGGTGGATATTACAATCATAATCTTTGATTAACTCCATCTAACGCCTCGGTCTCAAATTTAAGTCCTTCTGTGTAAACAATTACTTCAAACTCTGATGATCTGTAAATATTTCACAAATTTCACCATACAGATAATGCCTCCACAATTTTAAAGCAGAAATAATAGCAGCTAACTCCAAGTCATGTGTAGGATAATTCAATTCATGATTCTTCAATTGTCTAGAAGCATATGCAATTACTTTACCATTTTGCATCAAAACACATCCCAGAACCTGATGTGAAGCATCAGTGTAAATCACAAAACCTTCACCACCACACAGAATAGTTAACACTGGGGCTGACATTAACTTTTTCTTCAATTCTTCAAAATTTCTTTGTCATTCCTCACCTCACACAAACTTTACTTCTTTCCGGGTCAACTTTGTCAATGGCAATGCGATACTAGAAAACCCTTGGATGAACCTCCGGTAATAACCTGATAATCCCAGAAAACTTCTGACTTCTGTCACATTGGTAGGCCTTTCCCATTTCCCCACTGCTTTCACTTTTGATGGGTCAACATAAATACCATCCCCAGATACTACATGCCCCAAAAAGACAACTTTATCAAGCCAAAAGTCACATTTACTGAACTTAGCAAAGAGTTGTTTTTCCCATAACATCTGTAACACAATTCTTAAATGCTTTTCATATTCATCCACACTTCGAGAATATATCAAAATATCATCGATGAAGACAATAACAAAAGAATCAACATACGAATGAAATACTCGATTCATTAAATCCATAAACACCGCTGGAGCATTGGTTAACCCAAAAGGCATTACCAAAAACTCATAATAACCATATCGAGTTCGAAAAGCAGTTTTCGAAATATCACTATCCTTTACCTTCAATTGATGATATCCTGACCTAAAATCAATCTTAGAAAACACCTTTGCCCCTTGCAACTGATCAAACAGATCATCAATTCGTGGCAATGGATACTTATTTCTGATGGTCACTTTATTTAACTGTCTGTAGTCAATACACAACCGCATAGTACCATCCTTCTTCTTAACAAATAACACCAGTGCACTCCACGGTGAAATACTAGGTCGAATGAAGCCTTTATCTAGTAAATCTTGCAATTGTACTTTCAACTCTTTCAATTCTGTCGGTGCCATTCGATACGGAGCAATAGAAATCGGAGCTGTTCCCGGTACCAACTCAATGGTAAAATCTACCTCTCTGTCCACTGGCAACCCCAGTAAGTCTTCTGGAAACACATCTGTGAATTCCCGTACCACTGGTACATTTTTAAGTATCACCTCTTTATTTTTTGTATCAACCACATAAGCCAAGTAACCCTGACACCCTTTCTTCAACAACTTTCTGGTTTGTATAGCTGAGATGAGACAGTTTAGAATAACATTTCTTTCTCCGGTAAATCTAAATTCTGGCTCTCCTGGTATCTGAAATAGAACTTCTTTCCGAAAATAATCTATTGACGCATGATACGCAGATAGCCAATTCATACCCAAAATGACATCAAAGTTTGGTATACCCAATGGTATCAAATTCACCTTTAACTGTCTATCCCCTATTTGTAATACACAATCCCGATATTCATTTGCAACCACCACCACTTCCCCCATTGGTGTAGAAATAAACAATTTACTATCTAGTGATGAAAGTGGTCTACCCAAATGCATAGCAATAGATGATGCAACAAATGAATGGGTTGAGCTAGGATCAATAAGCACAGTAACATTTCTATCCAAAATAGAAAGTGTACCTGTCACCACTTCTGGTGTTACTTGAGCATCCTGAAGTGTCATAGCAAACACTCTTCCCTGGGCTTGTGAACCACTTATAGCACCCTTACCTCCTCTTAACGAGTTCCTCTGTGCAAAACCTCTACCAGAACCAGCAACACTGCCCACTGAGGTCACTCCTGTCAACATAGGACAATCTCTCTTCCGATGACCCGGCTGATGGCAATGATAGCACTCTTCTGCTTTCAAGATAGGACAATCCTTCTTCTGGTGACCTTCCCTTCCGCATTGAAAACACCCCCTGCCAGTACCACGTCCTCCAAAACTACCTTGTTGTACAGATTGTTGTTCGGAAAGCCCTTGACCTCTTCCAATACTTGATGTCTGGCCTTGAGATTCACCACCCCTTCCCCTTCCATACCGCGACCTTTGACTTTTCTGACTTGAAATTCCTTCACCTCCTCTTGACTGTGACGGCTCAGATCTATTTCTTTTGTATCGTTCCCTTCTTTCTTGCAATTCTTTCACATCCCTTTCAACAATCATGGCTTTATTCACCAGTCTGTTATAATCTGTTTCCTCAAACACTGAAACTCTAGACTTAATAGCCACCTCTAAACCATCCTGGAATTTTGTACATTTATCTTCTTCATTCTGTACAAACTTGGGTGCGAACCTCGATAAAGCTATAAACTTAACTTCATAATCAACCACAGATATTCTATCTTGTTTTAAGAGAATAAACTCCCGTTCCTTCTCTTTTCTGTAAATTGGAGGGAAATATTTCTCATAAAAAGCTTTAACAAATGGATTCCAGAATATCACATCTTTCTCTCCTGCAGTGAGCAACAAATGTTTTGTCGTGTCCCACCAATAACTAGCTTCATTTTTGAACATAAATGTAGCTAAGTTTACCTTTTGGTCTTCTGCTACACCCAT